GGTCTGTATATTAATATTTTTTTGTTTTATTATTTCAGTTAGGTTCCTTGACTAGTTTTAGCCAGCATGGCCATCATCAGGAGAAAAAAAAATCCCTGCTTGTTAGTAGCAGTGAACTACAGGAGTGAATGACCATCTCTGAGGAAAGTGAACAGACCTGTAGTTTTCATTATGTATTAAATTAAATTGCATATATAATATATATAAAATATATAATATATATATATATATAATATATATATATATATATATATAATATATATATATATATATATATATATATTATATATATATATATATATATATAATATATATATATATATATATATAATATATATATATATATATATATATATATATATATATATATATATATATATATATATATATATATATATATATATATATATATATATATATATATATATATATATATATATATATATATATATATATATATATATATATAATATAAAACATATAAAAGTTCAATGAGAAAAAAGTGTGTGTATATTAAAAGAAGAGAGATACCACAAACGTTTTTGCTTGTAATGTTGATTTTTTAAAAAAAAGATATTATGCTTTATTTTCCATAATTTTACTACACGGGTTTCTCGTCTTGTGACAGTCATCAGGTAAAGGCTGGACATTTCCACATATTATTAAAAATAATTAATTTTTTTTTCTCCTTTATGTTTTTTGATGTTAAATATTCTTGATATGAGACATTCTCTTTTTACGTGTTAGTAATCCGAATATCTTTCTTGAATTGGCAATGAAGAGTTCTGCTCGAAGGGTCATAAAACAATTAAGGTTGGTCCAAGAGAAATGATGAATTACTTATCGGCATTTTATCTTTTAATGTTTTAATGACCCCTGTGTGTTCTTAGATCTATTTCCATTTTCATGTGTTTCTGTCAGCATGCTTATATATATATATATATATATATATATATATGTGTGTGTGTGTGTGTGTGCATATTCCCTCTCCATACATACACACTGTCTAACTACGAGGAATTAGTAAACACATTTGTACACATACACCTACATACACACACTGTCCCACTATGAGGAATCAGTACATACACACACTTCCCAAGTTACATGGAACCAGTGTACACATATATACGTACATACATACACACACACACACACATACATATCTCTATCTCATTTTAAAAAAATTTTTTTTTTATTAAATCTTCCAAAATTCCAAATAAGCTGTTTTGTTTTATTGGTAAATTTGACATCGACTTTTATATTTTGCATTCCCCTCCCAGATACTTTCGAATATTACGTCATTCAGGATTGTTGTGTGTGTAGTTATGCTACTGGTTTTTAATTCTGGCATTCTTACGTTTCATGGAATCAATTTGAACTCACTCAAGGTAACCTCGTATAAACTGTCAAACTGAATTTCACTTCAATGGACGGAGAAAGACATCTTTTTCAATGCTGGCTGCTTCTCTTTTATTACAATAGCCCCCAGAACTTGTCTTTTTAGCACATGTTTGGCAGAATTCTTGCTACCAAAACACACACACATTATTATATATATATATATATATATATATATATATATATATAAAATGTAAAAAGAAAGAACAGTAAGATATATAATCTGGTATTCTTATTGATATTTTTATTTTTACAAAATAGTACTCAATGTAAATATACAGAGCATTAATATCATAAATTAACTGATTTAAAATATGTTTTTTTTTCACTACACAGTAATAACCATGTTTCAAAAATGGAAGCTAAAAGCTTCAAATTTAATTTTGTAATTAAATTAAAAACATTAGTTACATTTCATCCTCAAGCAAATTTTGGAGTAATTTATTTTTGAATTTACTGAATTATAAAAGGCACAGAAAAATTCATAACAGTTGAATTATGAATTTTCTGTGCCTTTAAAACTCAAACATATATATATATATATATAATATATATAATATATATATATATATAATATATATATATATATATATATATATATATATATATATATAATATATATAATATATATATAATATATATATATATATATATATATATATATATATATATATATAATATATATATATATATATATATATAATATATATAATATATATATATATATATATATATATATATATATATATAATATAATATATATAATATAATATATATATATATATATATATATAATATATATATATATAATATATATAATATAATATATATAATATAATATATATATATATATATATATAATATAATATATATATATATATATATAATATATATATATATATATATATAATATATATAATATATATATATATATAATATATATATATATATATATATATATATATATATATAATATATATATATATATATATATATATATATGCTGACAATATTTTATGACACACTGGTTCAGAATCACTGACCTAGACTATGTAGTTACTGAGATATTTACATCTCAAGTGTTATCAATTTTTTTTTAAAACCCTCTGCATCATGACCTTCGCATCATAATCTCACCAAATCATGATTAACACTGCTTCAGTTTTATTTTTCTACTTATGCTTCCATATCAGAGAAAGGTCAAACATGTAGATAATTTCTTGTAGTCATTGGAACAAATATACATTTACTTTAAAATGTCACACCTACTTAAAGGAATTTGACATTGGTACAATGTAACATGAGCAAGCACTTCCCAACAAGTGCCTCGATAAACAATAAGAAAGCATTTCTATAAGTAGGTTAAAATTAAGATGGAGAAATTCCAGGGACAACCAGGATATTTCTTTATCTACTGAACGACATTAACGGTCTTCTGTTTGTTAAGTTTGGGCAGTATTAATTTTGATAAATAAAATTGATTTCCTCAATTCACAAAGTTTTGGAAATATTTTAAACTGAATTTAAAACAAATTTTTTTTAAATTCAAAGTTTCTGTTCCTTTAAACTCAATATAAAATCTGCCCTTCATCTAGTAATTAAACATCCAATGCTGGATTGGTAAATATACAAGATACACTGAAGTGAAACTGAATTTTGAAATTTTTCTGATGAAACAGCATCATCAGAAAAATTGATTTTATTTCAAGCTAAACTACACTGGTAAGACATGATCCACATTAATCATAGGGATGCTGAAGTTTTTTTCTGCTTTAACTATATCATTTTTAAATCAGATTTTATTAATTTCAGTTTAGTTTTTAATTATATATTTGTTTTAAGATTTTTTCCACATTGTTTCAACACCAGTTTAGTAAGAACTAGTGATAGACTAAGTAATATTTTTATTACTGCAAACATTATTATAGCGGATACTTAGTATTTGAAATAGATATCACATTTTTATTTATTACCAGCTTAAAAGACTCACTTTTAAGCTAGCTTCTGTGGAGGACTAATTGGGCCTCCAGTCTGAAACTAAAGGGACCTCTGTTCCAGCTTAGAAAACAGTATTGATAATTTTGAAAAAATAACTTTGAATTTCTCAATTCACTCCATAGAATTCCAAAACCTCACTTTAACTCTGATTTGGGATATAAATCCAATTCCAGCCAAAAGATCAATTTGGGTTGAAATTCCAATTCAGGCTGAAAATTGAGTTCTTCAAAACCTCACATCAACACACCTCACACTTTAACTTTGATTCCTTGGCACTTTGAAGAAATAAAATTGATTTCCTCAATTCACAAAGTTTTGGAGATATTTTAAACTGAATTTAAAACATATATATATATATATATATATATATATATATATATATATATATATATATATATATATATAATTCCAAAGAGGAGGGCTAAAACTAAATGGGACTCTGGTCCAGCTTAGAAAACAGCAAGGATAATTTTGAAGAAATAACTTCAAATTCCTCAATTCACTCCATGGAACTTCAAAACCTCACTTTAAATCTGATTCAAGCAATAAGTTCAATTACAGCCAAAATACTAATCTAGGCTGAAAATACAGTTCAAGCCAAAAATAGAATTCTTCAAATTACAAAGTCTGTGAAACTTCAATTATGATGAATTTTTCAAATTACAAAGTCTGCGAAACTTCAAAACCTTGTCACAAAACTTCTCCCTTACGACTCTGATTTCTTGGCATTTTGAAGAAATAAAATTGATTTCCTTAATTCAGTAAGTTTTAAAGATATTTTAAACAATTTTTTTTTAAAATTCAAAGCTTTGGAGTTACTTTAAACTCAATATAAATCAAAAACATAAAAACACTAATTTTTTTCATCTATTTTAAAATTTGAATTTTTAACTGTTTCTTCCTCATTCGGACATAAGTCTCAATTCTGGATATTAAAGCACCCGAGAAAGAATAAATTTTCAATCATCCAGATTCCAAAAAGTTATATGTCTATGTAGAGCAAGTGTAGCCTGAATAAAAGCGGTTTCAAACACATGGACGGACAGACAGATAGAATTTGCTCTTTGTTTATTTAGATATCTGAGAGCCTGCATCAACCGAATTCATTAGGAGGTAGAGATCATCAGGATGAAAACCCTGTTGGCAGACCTTAGAATATGTCATCCTCTGCAGAGAGTTAAGATCTCCCAAAAGGGAACACTTATGTGATAGATACTCACAGACTTAGTAATAAGTGACCTATATTTTCCTAAAGACTAAAATATTAATATAACCAATGCTTACCTATGGACTTAAATATAATAAAAAACATAGTTTTTACATTTAATAACCCAATAGGTGTTGACATGTTATAAAAACCAACATCAGATTGATATTTAAATTTAGTTCAGGCCATATTCTTAGTTTTACAATTTATCTTTGAGAATAAAGATTAGAGTTTGGATGGTAATTTTTCCTTAACTGGAAGATTCATGGGTGTTGACAACTTACATTATCTATTAATCTCATTTTCTTTTCTTATCTTTTGCTTGTATCTTTGTATTTTACCCTTTATTCATTATAATTTACATTGTTCAGGTTTTAATCTAAATGTGATAAAGGAGTAAGCAATGTAGAAATATTTTCCATATTCATTTATTTATTCATTTTTCTCTCCCCCTCTCTTTATTCCTTCATTCCTTTTCTCCACCCCCCTCTCTTTATTCCCTTCATTCCTTTTCTCCACCCCCCTCTCTTTATTCCTTCATTCCTTTTCTCCACCCCCCCTTTTATTCCTTCATTCCTTTTTCTCCACCCCCCCCCCTCTTTATTCCTTCATTCCTTTTCTCCACCCCCCCCTCTTTATTCATTCCTTTCTCCCCCCCTCTTTATTCCTTCATTCCTTTCTCCACCCCCCTCTCTTTATTCCTTCATTCCTTTTCTCCACCCCCCCTCTCTTTATTCCTTCATTCCTTTTCTCCACCCCCCCCCTCTTTTATTCCTTTTCTCCACCCCCCTCTTTTATTCCTTCATTCCTTTTCTCCACCCTCCTCTCTTTATTCCTTCCTTCTTATTCTCTTTCTCTCACACCTCCTCTTTTTTATTCTCTCTCATACCTCCACTTTCTTCTTTCTCTCATACCTCCTCTTCTTTCTCTCATACCTCCTCTTTCTTCTTTCTCTCTTACATCCTCTTTCTTATTCTCTTTCTTTCTTACATCCTCTTTCTTCTCTTTCTCTCATACCTCCTCTTTCTTCTTTCTCTCATACATCCTCTTTCTTCTCTTTCTCTCTTACATCCTCTTTCTTATTCTCTTTCTCTCTTACATCCTCTTTCTTATTCTCTTTCTTTCTTACATCCTCTTTCTTATTCTCTTTCTTTCTTACATCCTCTTTCTTATTCTCTTTCTTTCTTACATCCTCTTTCTTATTCTCTTTCTTTCTTACATCCTCTTTCTTATTCTCTTTCTTTCTTACATCCTCTTTCTTTCTCTCTCATTCTCTTTCTTTCTTTCCTCATTATATCAGAAACGACTAAAATGTAACTATTAGCAAGATAAATTTTACTAGACCTCCTCAAAATATTATACAAGTTTTACTGCAAGGAACAACTCAAAATTCTAGCAGCCATTATACTACAAAAGAAACAATATTCACTATTTATATTTGGACTAGTGGCTACATCTTTGTTGTTTTTGTTATTACAATGTTTTGGCCGTTTTGTCCTGTGGACTTCATCAGGTATGTATTGATCTGGGTAACCAATGGAGAATTCTGAACTGAACCCTTGAGTTAATCTACTAGGGTAGACTGTTCTCATTCCACTGCCAATGTCTAGGGATATCTCATCTTGTTTTTATTTTTATTTAGTACTAATCAGTTATAAGTTAGCTATTTCCACGCACTGCGAGCCCAGGGGTTGAACTCACAATTATTATGTCAGACAGAAAAAAAACAAAAAAACTGACATTAAATATATTTCTCAATAAAAAAATCCTTTATTGAAGAACGTATAAAATATTTAATATGCATACAAACCCCGACCGAAAAAATGACACAAATATTCAATACATGCTTTTCTGTCTATTATGTTTTATATTTTAATGTATTGCCTGCCCTATTGGTTGGGGCTTCAGAATATGGAGACAGTACCTCTGTAGGTTTTGAGGAGCATGGAACCACCTCTTAATTGCTAGTGTTCCCAGGTCCACCCTAACCTGGAGTGGTAGCACCTGTTAGGATCCCAGCTATGGGAAAATAGTTAACGCCCAAACAAAAACAAAGGATTATGAAAGTTAAAAATAATTTTTAATAGTAAAAATACCAGCAAAATGTTTTTGAAAAAAATTATTACCAGCAATAAAAATAATATATATATATTACCAGCAACATATTTTTGGGGAAAAAAATTACGAGCAATAAAAATCTTGTCAGCATTAAATAATTCATTGAGGTTGATGTGCTGTAAAACAAACCAAATCAAACTTGGGAGGAATGCATCACCAACAATGAGGTCCTCTCTTGGATGTCTCTCTCTCCCCAGCATTGAGGCTACCATCCTTCAACATCACCTCTGCTAGGTGGGTTAGGGTTAGGGTGTCCAGAATGCATCCCCACTTGACTCCCTCATATCATTCTGCTTAGATCAATTGAAGCATCGACCCGGAGACCTGAGAAACGGCCTTCCTGGTGTAATACCACCTGGGGGAGTGTAGGAGGTGGGGAACCAAGCCTTTCGATCACACCCGTTGATATGAAGAGGATTTGTGATGTGCTGTAAGGAGGGCTGGACTCACCAACACACCTCCTCCCAACTATTTGGTCATGTGCAGGTGTGGGTGGTGAACACTAGGCCTTCACAGCCATCTCCAGCACCATCACCAACACCAGGGGTTGATAGAGAGAGAAAATGATGATCCCAATGTTCAGATGCAAGCGGGTGCTGACGACAAATGTGTTACAATTTTTATGCCTAAACATTGAGAGATAAAATATTTTTCCCAACCTACTTTGATCAATTACATAATTCACATGCATATCTGCGTTCAGGGAAGTTCGTCCAGGAAAGATCCAGCTGATTAATATCTAATTAAAAAAATATCACCTTAGCACCTGTGAAAATGGCACCTTAGTACTCCATATTTCAGCATCTTTTGCACTTTTGAAAAAGTTTTTAAATTCCTGTCTGAACGTTACGAGATATTCCTAGACATGGTAATCAGAATAAGAATAATCTATCTCTGTAGATTAAATAAAGGGTTCAGTTTGAAATTCCCTGAAGGTTATCCAGATTGAGAAGCACCTGATGAAGGTCAGAGGGAACAATGACTGAAGTGTTGTGATAACAACAACAAAGATGGGGACAATAATCTGTGTGTAAATAATGCAGATAGTCTTCAAATTACACTTAATGTTGCCATCAACTGCCTCTTCACATTCTCCTTAATCTCGTTAATGACTTGAAATCCTTTTCAAATGGATAGAAAAGCTAACAGTTGCAGGGAGCTAAATCTGATCTGTAGAAGGCATACCGTATATTTCCACATATAAAACAACCTTTAAATGTCCAAAATCATCATTAAAAATTAGGGGTTGTCTTGTACGACAATTCTAAAAAAAAAAAAACTTTAAATTCTTAGTGATGTTTATCTGTAGGCTAACCTCAGCCTTGGCGCGATAACCAATAACATACATAAAAAGATTCACATTATCAAATAAATTGATAATAAAAGTAATAAAACCATTTCTACCTTATATATTACTGGCATAACTTCATAATAAATTGCCTATTCAAAGAATAATTCCAGATTGATATGGGTATAAGTTAAAAAATTTCAACTGGCTTAGACAGAAGTTAGGAACATGTTGAAAGTGGAATGTGCTATATTCGTACTGCTATAAGCAGTATTTTGAGATTGTTGATGAAGTATAAGTAAATGGTCATTAGTACACCAGGCTGTTTGTAACTATTTAGATATAGGAAAAGAAGGAGAAGAATCAGTATTTGCAAAAGATCATGTGATGAAACATAAAACAATAGTTTCCCTTTTAGGGGACATGTTATGGTAATTTACCCATGCACACATGGACTCTCCCAGCTATAAATAGGAGCAGGTACTGCCTTTTGGATAGGGAAGCTTCTTGCAGTTGAATTGAACATTCTTCCTGTAACACTCTCGTTTGTATATGTTTGTATTACTGTTTCTGTTAATATATTTGTTTAACTCAATTACTCTCTTTGAGTCTTTATTTTTGGCCTTAACAAGGTCACAACAGGACATGTGCAAAACAAAAAAACAAAAAAACACGATATAGTTTTGTTATTTTGAATTTCTAAGGACATAGTAACAACATTTCCAATAATGTCATCTTTATGTAATCAGTAAGCAGTTATTACAGGTATAGGGTCAATTCATGAAAATTACTATATTTTTTTATTATCTCATCTAAAGGTTGCCTTATACACAGAAATATATGGTATATATATATATATATATATATATATATATATACACACTTTTCAATTTCAGACTCTCCAATATGTAGCTCATGCTTTAAGTGAATTCTGTTCTCTTAGTTAGGATGGATGGATGTTGGATTTAACGGCATGTCAACTCCTATTTTTATTAGTTAGGTCTTCTTTTTTTCTTCTTGTGTTCTACTACAGTTCAAATCATTTCATGCCAAGCAAGGCAATAAATTCACTAAGACACAATAGATTATAGAGATTGTCTGGTTGCACTATACAAAGGTAATTTTTTTTCTGGAGTGGTTAAAATTCATTTAGGCTATGTAAGTGGCAGGCTCAGGGAAAAGGAGCTACCATAGTCAGACATGAATGAAAACCAAAGTATGGTATTTAAATCTTCATATCCTATATTGTATGGTAAGTGGTTTTTCTTACCATTTTGGAGTAGCTTTGTACAAAAGAAAGAATTTTCTATAAAACATGTCCAGGATGATGCACAATATTATAATATTTGACCCTGGTAGGCCTGCTCAGAACCTGTGGGCGTGCATTATACATGAAAAAGTTCAGGTGTTGCACTAAACATGAAGTAGGCTACAGGTACATGATAAATTCATGAAAATTTGCTATATTTTTTGATCTCATTTTATCTAAAGGTCACCTTAGACATGGAAATATATGGTAATATATTTGAGAATTAAAAAACCCAAGTTCATTTCTAAATTAGAAACTTGCATTAGGAAGAGACATATACAAGTTGAATGACCAGTTATTGTTGACTTTGCAAATAGACCAACCTTAGGCATGAAGTGTGAAATACTTAACGCACAAGCTCCATTTCAAACCGTGTATATTTATACTAAATTGGCAAGTTAAGGAACTAATGTTTACAAAAGAAATAAACAAGTGGCATCCCAAGATTTTTTGCTGGAACTCGACACTACTTAGCCCTCCAACCACTTCTCTTGTTTGCATTCACTGCTGTTCATATCTTCCTTGCAGGCGCCATTTTCATTCTTGTCAAAGTTTCTGACTTCCTGTTGTCCAAAAGGACATTTTTTGCTTTAGGCTCAACAAGCCGTGCTTAGACATCAAAGCCACTGTCGCTATTAATTGGCATGCGATTGGCATCTAGTTAGGTAGGGGAAGGTAAAGATTGGCTCCAAGACGTGAAAGGCAAAGAAAGCCACTATAATTACAAGCACGATATAAATAAAAAAAAGTTTTGAGTTCATGAAACAGCCAAACATCGTTTTGTCTGTAAATAAAATAAAAATTGTTTGGGTGTTACTGTTTATAAATCTGTTTGGTTTCTTTATAAACAAAAAGAGGGAATTCACTACAGTTTGAACCTTGCTAACCTGGAAATCACCTGTTTGGTAACCTTGATAATTCAGAAAGATGGCTCGGCTAGTTTCAACACATGAGTCACACCTGTCGAAATCTCGTATTTAATTTTCTCATAAAAATCATTTGTTATTAAGCTTGGCTTGGTTGTTTTTACAGCATATCAACCTCAATTTCAAGGAAACAAAGCCACTAAGATGCAGGGGACTTACTGAGTGTGAAAGTGTGTAAGGAAAAGAAAAACATTAATGAGCAAGAATAGCAAAAGAATAGGAATCAAGAAGATAATGATAGACACTGCATTTAAATTTACCAAGATCAAAGTTGACTGGAAAACAAGAAGCCGAGAGTTCCACAAGTGAGAGAAGAAACTGTTACGGTTCCATCTAGCCATTTCATCTATGAAATGAGAAAACCATGCAACCAATCTAGTACTGTGCTTAAACACATAAATGGTTTGGTTTATTTTGTTTTATGGCATATCAATTTCAATGGGTTATTTAATGCCGACAAGATTTTTAGGATAAGTTCGTATAAACAGAATATGTATTCTTTGTAAGAAATCAGTTTGTTTGGTTTATTTTGTTTTACGGCATATCAACCACAAGGGGTTATTTAATGCTGGCAAGATTTTTAGGATACATTCGTATGAAGAGAATATGTATTCTTTGTAAGAAATCAGTTTGTAGATCTGGTTTCATTAACATATTTTTTGTAAAGAC